GGAAGCCCCAGCGCTGTGGGTTTCTGTTTTCCCTGGGCTTCCCCGGCATAAAGCTGGGGAAAGGGGCCGGGAGCCCCGGGCAGCCACGGCCTAGCACCGGGAGCCTCCGCCGGGGTCAAAGGGGAGCGCAGGGGCCTGGAGAGAGCCCCGAGCTTCCAGGGGGGAGCCCCGGTTCCCCGAGGGGACCCCGTTAGCCCCGAGGGGGTCCCCGTTTCCCCCGGGGGGTGCCCCCGCTGCGGCGCTGCTCTCACCTGGCCACGGCCCCGCTGCTCCCTCTGCTCCCGGTGATTCCTCGGCCTCGACGGCGCGGCCGAAACCTGCGGGGAAAGGCGGAGAGGGAGCGGGTTAGCGGCCGCGCCCCGACACACGCAGCTGTAGGGCAGGGGCAGCCCCCGGGGGGAACCGCTACCTGCCCGCCCCGCCCGGCTCTGAAGCTGGGTAGGGGTCTGGGAGGGGACACCGTGCCCCAGCAGGTCCCTGTCACCGCGGGGAACACGCGAGGTGGCTGCCCAGGGCCGGCAGCCGAGGACCGGTCCCGGTCCCGGTCCGGGGAGCGCCTCCGGGCACGTCGGGGGAGGCGAGCCCAGCGCTGCCCGGCCCCGGGTGCGCCCCGTCGGGGCCAGGAGCGGGCCCGGAGGCTGCAGGAGGCCGCGGAGGCTCCCCCGTAAGGGCGGCCCCGAGGGGGGCGGCGGGGGAAAGCCCCCCCCGGGCGGAGGGGGAGGCAGCGAGGGCCGGGGGGGCCGCCTCGTCGTGGGGACGGGTGCTGAGGAACCCAAGGAGAGAGGGGCGAGGGGAAAGCTCGACGCTGCGGAGGGAAAGCTTAGGGGTGAGAGCAGGGAAGGGTGGGGGGAGAGGGGCCGGGGAGGGGGAGGCGGCAAGGGGGGGGAGAGCCAGGCTCGGGGGAAGCCCCCGAGCAGAGAGGAGCAGCCGCCGCAGCAGCAGCAGCCCTCAGCATGGCAGCAACAGTTGGCTGGCAAGGTAAAGAGACGTGCATCTGAACCGCCGTGCCTCGGCTTTCCACTCGCTCCCGAGCTGTCCCCCTCGCCCCCCCACATCACCCCTGGTCCCAGCCCTCTCGAGGGACGGCAGGCAGCAAGGAGAGAGGATGCTTTTCCAGCCTGAGCTGGGCTGAGCCCTCATACCACTTCGCCTTTTTTTTTTTTTTTTGCCAAGTTCCCCTCTAGTACCTTGTCTCTCCCTTTAAAATATGCTCACACGAATAAAACCCCTGTAAAGAGGTTTGCTGGCGACTGGAAAGGACAAACACTTTTTTTTTTTTCTAAATAGGAGAGGATAAATAATTATGAAAATGCAAGTCTACTTGAAAGATATTGTGACCCTTCCACCTCTGTTTTCATCCAGCCAGCTAGTGCTCAAGCTACGTGTCCTGAACAAGAAGGAAGGGAGGGAGGGGAGCGACGAGGTGCTTTTTCTTCGCCTTCTTCCCTCGCTTATCCCTTAGCCAGCCTTTTACTCTTTTCTAAAGTGCAGGCAGGTCTTCAAAATCTCTTTTATCTCTTGAGAAATATTAACTCCTAGCCCCGACTGTGGTCCTCGCCCGATCTCTCCAATGCAGGCTTCCCTGAAATGCAAGATCAGCCCTTTCTCAGCCGGATCTCCCTCCGTGCCGGCGACGGGGGAGCGGAGAGGAGAACCCCGCTACTTTCTGCCAGATCCGACGGGAGCTCGCCCCCCCACCCCCTTCTCACTTTCCAGCCGCTGGAACCACAGGCCCCTGTGTTGCGTCAAGCGGCCACTCTGCTACCAACTTGCTGCTCGGATCTTGCCTCTTTCACGAGGCTGATCTGCACGGACAGATCCGCTTTTAATCGCTTGTTCTTTTGGGGGGTGGCAAGCGGGGGAGGGGGGGGGGGTCTTTTTGCTATTTATTTCTAGCCCACGGAATCCGGACTGGCAATTACTGCAAAGAGAGGGAAAATGCAGCTTCCCCAACTCCTGCCTGAGATGCTCTCAGTGCTGTGTGCATGCACAAGGCAGTTTCAGAACCAGAGAGCTGGTGCTGATGCTGCTCTGCTCGCTTGCAATCACCTCGTCCAAAAGCATCGCCTCGGCTGGGTTTTCCCCCGGATTCTGCCTTTTTTACCCTTTTCGGGGCCACTAGCTTTTAGGGAAAGAGTGATCGGAGAGATCGCCGGACTGCAAGTTGCTTAAAATCAGGTTGGAAGTGGGCAGGGGGGAGGGAGGCGCCTTTGGCAAACGCTTCCATGGTGCATCTCCTGCTAACTGGGGTCTCCCCCAAACCGCGGCGGATTCGTGCGCCTCCCCCTCCTCCTCCCTCCCTATTATTTATGGGGTGATCCCAGTAAATCCCACCCTCCCCACCTCGAAATAAGCCGAGGCTCCCGATTACAGGGCATTTAATGAATCGCTCCGAAGATTTTTTTTTTTTTTTTTATGAATTAATCTCGATCAACTAGGACGCCCATATTTTTAAAATACAGATATGCTCTGGAAGGAGGGGAGGGGGAGAAAGGTGAGGGGCGGAGAACTTTTAGGAAGTTTTTTTTTCTATTTTTATTTTTCCATTAATGAAATAAAAACGACCATACAGTTATCCGAATAAACGTGTGATCTGCTCCGTTAGGCAAAAGTCGATTAAAAAGTTAGGCTAGTAGGCTACGGGGAATATTTGGACGTCCGGGGGACCAAGCGGAGTAGGAAGGGGGGAAAGGGTGTTTATTGCTCTCACTACATATATATATATATATATATACACACACACATATATACACTCACAGCATGGAGGGTTTGGGGGGGAGGGGGGGCTGGATGGGGGAGAGGGAGAGGTGCCAGGAATTAATAATAGAAGCCCACAGAGTCTAGATAAGTCCAAGGCTCGGCGATCGCAGCTGCTGCTCCTTCGGCGAATGCGCCCTCCGCGAATGCTTTTTGGGGTAAGGGCTTCCCGGGTAGCTAGTTATGTACAGCAAGCCCAGACCGCAAAAAGATTCGCGAAGGACAAAGTCTCCCGCGGCTTCCTACATCCATCCGGCCGGCTGCCGCCACCACATCCACGGGACCCACGGGCGATCGGCTCCGCCATCCCCGCCACGCCGGGTCCCCACCCCCCATCCCCACCGGGTCCCGCTCCCCGAGCCCGGACCCCGCCGCGGCGAGAAGGCGGCGGCTGCGGGAGGAGGAGGAGGAGGAGGAGGAAGAGGAGGAGGAGGAGGAAGAGGAGGTCCCGTCGCCCCCCGGCAGGGCCGGGGCCGCGGGAGCGTGGCGGAGCGCGGCGTGTCCGCGGCCCCGCTCCGCGCGGAGGCTCCGGCGCTGGGCACGGGCGCTGCGTAAAGAGAAAACTCTCCCCCCTGAGCGCTAAATAAATAGAGAGCAGGCGGGCAGCTCATTGGTGCGGGCTAAAATCGTCACCCACCAATCAGGCGGCGCCTCACATTGCCTACTTCGGCTTTTTTTTTTTTTTTTTTTTTTTGCCTTTTTTTTTTTTTTTTTTCTTTCCCCGAAAGGGGGAGAGGCGGGCGGGAGGAGGGATGGGAGGGGGAGAGGGAAAAGGGAGGGAGGGGGGGGAAATAATAATAATAATAATAATAATAATAAAAAAAGAAACATTTCCATGCCTAATTATTCACCGAATCCACGACAAGAGCACGGCCGGGCCAGCCCCGACCTCTCCGAGCCCCCCCTCGACCCCCGAGCCCCCGGCCCCTCTCCGGGAGCCGCAGCCGCCGGGGCTCGGAGCGCAGCACGGGCAGCCCCGCCGTCGGGGGGCCGCGGCTGCTGAGCCGCCTCTCGCCCCGGTGGGGGCGCCCCGGGCCGCCCGCCACCTCCCGGCGGGCAGCCGGGGACACGGGGGACCCGCGGCGGCCACCGGGCACACGCGTGATGCTGTCACCCCCCCACGTCCCCACCCGCGCCCCGGTCAGCCCCGAGGGGCGACCCTCCGGGGGGCAGCGGGGGACGCGGGACGCCGCCTGCCTGCCTCGTCCCGAGCTCCATCACACCGGCCGAGGTCGAGAGCGACCCAGGCACCGCCGCCGGCAGGGCCGGCTGGCTCCGAAAAGTTTCCAGGACCTGGCACCGAAACTCCGGAGCTCTCCCCCCCGACAGCTCGCCGGTGCCCGCAGGCGGCAGCAGAAAGGCGCACCCGCCGCGTCCCGGGGGGCTCACGCACGGCTCGGGAGGGGAAGGGATCCCGCGGGGGACGGGCTGGGACGGGGACAGGGGGAAGAAAGCGGGGGGGGCTCGCACCTCGGCCGCAACTCGCGAAGTTGGGGAGTTCGCCGCCGCATCCCGCCGCCGCTGCGCTCCGCTCGGCTCCGCTCGGTGGGAGACGGGGAAGGGGGAGACGAAGAGGAGGAGGAGGAGGAGGAGGGAGCCCACGCGAGGCAGCGCTGCCCGCACCCGCGCCCGCACCGCCGCCGCTCCCCTCGCTCGCCCGGACCCCCCCCCCGAGCCCCCGGTGCCGTCCCGGTGCCGAGCGGCGGCGGAGCGCGGCCGGGGCAGAGCAGGCGGCACAAGTTGCAAAAGCCCCGGCACTTACCTGGCCGTGCGTCCCTGGCCGCTCCGGCGGTCCCGCGGGGTGCGAGCATCGCCCAGGGTGGTTTGTGTTTTGTTTTGGTTTTCTTTCCTCTTTTTTTTTTTTTTTTTTTTTTCCAAAAAAAAAAAAAAGCCCAAAAGCAAAGCGTCCCTTCCTCCAGGTATGTATATAAGTTACTGTACTGTGTGGGAGGGTCACGATCTCACTAGGTGCAGAAGATTCCCCAAGATTAACCCCTCCTCTCCCTTCCCCTCCTGCAACTTGTTGAGGGTTTTATACACACGCGGGCGCGCACGCACACACACACACACAGACACACGGACAGGGAGCGGGCACACGCACGCACACACACACACACACACACGGACGGGAGAGCAAAGAGAAAGCGAGCTCCGAGGAGTCCGGCTGCCCCCCGACGCCGTGTGATTGGATGGTCTTTTCATGGAGAGGGGACGTCTCAAGTCGAAGTCACGATTTCTCCTCAGTTTGGAACCATCTGTGACTGGAGCCATGACGCAGCCAGAGCACATTACTCACTTTTACAGTCACGACTTGGAAATCCGTGCAGTTTCCAACCAAAATTACACCGCCACCATTGAATTATTTAATAGGATCCAGTTAAGGGTAATCTTATGCATTGTGCCGAGAGAGGCAACGATCTAGGAGGGGAGGGCTGGGAAGGCGAGGGAGGGGGCGAGGAAGGAGGGCATTTCTTGTTTCTAATGACTGTTTTCCAGAGATCTATTAGGAGCGGCAACGATTGGCTCCACGTGTTGGAAGCGGCTCGCTCCTTCCAAACAAACAAACAAACAAACCAGGGGCCGGGGCCGCCTGTAAATACGACCACGCAAGCTCGGGGAAAAGGGACGGTCGTGCATTAGGGGCAGCCGTGGGTGGAGTACCGTGTTGTGCATTCGGCCGCTGGGGTGTGATTAATTGCGAGAAACGCTGTCTTTTGTGCGCCTAGATTAGAGCCACCGCATGCGGGCTCGGCCAGGACGCGCTGTGCCCCCAGCTAAGCGTGCCGAGCCCAGCCGAGCCGTGCCGCTGCTCAATGTCTGCACCGTGCCATTGTCTGCAGGATCCGCAAGCGGTGCCGGGCTTTGTGTGGTAGGTGCACCATTTTCTACGCTTCCTTCTACCGGAGGGCGAGGGCTGACCGTGCGCGGCGGCCAGCCGCCTCCTCGGCTAGCGGCTGCCCGATGGATTTTGCCTCCCCGGCCCCGGGGCTGGGGCTGCGGGGAGCTGCATGCGGGGCCGGCCCGGGGCTCCGAAACGGCGCCGGGGAGCTGCGGGGCTCGGCGGCGCCGAGGTAACCCTACAGGGTCCCCCTCCACCCCGTTAGGGGGGGAGGCGAGCAAGGACGCGGAGGACGAGCCCACCACACACACACACACACACACACACACACACACACACACACACACGGCCCCGCAAGAAGAAGGTGCGAGCGCTCCGAGAAGAGGTTGGAGGGTGTGGGGGGGGGGGACACCAAACGAGGTGGGAGGAGAAGGGGTGAGTCCAAACAAAGCAACCTATAGCCTCCTATTCTGCCGAGCACCATCATCAGGTGCGGGCTCTTTCAAACGCACGGGCGGGAAGGGCGGGCGGCGGCGGCGCAGGAGGGGAAACCTCGGCGGTGGCGGCGGCGGCGGAGCCCCCCGGGCCCCCCCCCCTCACCCCGGCGGCCCCCGACCCCCGGCGGCTCCGGGCTCGGCTCCGGGTTCAGCACCGGGGCGCGGACAGCGCCCGGCGGCGGCCCCGGGAGCAGCGCCCGGCCCCGCGCCCCCCCCCCCGGCAAAGCAAAGCGGGGAAGGGGAGGGGAGGGGGGGGACACGGGAGGGAGAGGGGCTCACTAGCGCCGACGGAGAGAGAGGGAGAGCTGCAGCTCGCTATTGATTCAGAGATTTACCGGCAGGGTGATTCCCCCTTTCTGCAAGAATTCCCTGTCTCCGGGCTCCGTGCATGCAGCAAATTCACGGTGGAGGCGAGCACGCAGCCCTCTCGCTTCAGAGGAAAAGTGGGGAGGAAGGGAAAGAAATGGACCCAAGCATGCACTAGAGAAAGACGAGACTCACAGCCACTCTCTGCACCATGCACAGGAAAGATCACTACTTACCCGAACGGGAACTCCTCGGCTAGGGGAGGGAGGGAGGGGGAGTTGGGGGGGGGGGGGGGCGAGGAAGGGGACGGGGGGAATCCGACAATTAATTTCCAGACAGGAGTTGGAAAAAAATACTGCGGTGATGTCCAGGTTTTCTTCCACCCGCGCTCGCTTTTTATACAAGTGCAACCCTCTGTCTATTTCTGGAACGCGATCAAAACCCTGATGCTATTTTTAGCAGGTACTGGGGAAAAAAATCCACACACAAAGGCATTTCGCTGGAACGCTACGTCCAAAACATTAAATGTGCATTAAGTCTGCCCCCCCTACACACCAGCACCCCCAACCACGCGTCCCCCTACCCCAGCTTCTTTCTGCACCACCATCCCCAGTTGCTTTAGGTGCATCATTGCAGAGAATTAGAGAAAAAAAAAAAAAAAGAAACACAACACAAACCAAAAGCCCAAACTGACCGCCTTCCATGCTGTCCTATTGCACAAACCCCTAATCCACAGTTGTGTTGAGTCTGCCTCTGCTTCTCTGCCTGTTGCCTTGCAAGCATTACTGTGTCTGTCTTCTTGCACTGTCTTTATAAAGTGGGCTTTGGAAAAAACACAACAACCACCATGCACCAGTTTGCCATCATGCACAAATGTGGATTTCAGGCAGGGATGCTTGCTTTGCCGAGAGACACTGAGATGGTTTCATATAGTGAATTGCACCCTGCACAAAGAAGGTTTTTTTTTTTTTTTTTTTTTTTTTTTTTTTTAATTCTCTCCTCCCCACCCCGTGCCTTTCCCCCCTTAAAAAAAAAAAATCCTTTGTTTGGAGAATAAAGGATCTATAAATATATATACGAAAAAAGGGTGTGTGTGTGTGTTTGCGTTCTAGTAATTCACTACGAGGGGGGACTGGGGAAAAAATAGAATCATTAGGGCTTGCAGGCTGCAAGGAGCCAGCCTGAGACTCCTTTGCAAGGCTGCGTCAGTTATCAGCTATTGACGTCACGTTCAGATTCTCCTCTTCAGAGGCTCTAGTTCATCATAAAAGATGTCTGTGCTTGGAGCTTTGTGCTTGCAGAAAGGCACTTCAATTCGAGGAAAAGAGTTAATTAGCAAGCCCCATATTTTGTGGCGTGCAGCTTTCTGTACAGTTGCACAAAAATCCTGGGGGGGGGGGGGGAGCATATGTGTGTTTGTAAGGGAGGGAGAGAAAAATAAAAATATGCACTGGGGATGGGGAGGTATTTCTCAAAAAACACACACATCCCATGCAGAAGCACAGACAGAGAAATCTGCATAGCCAGACCTTGCAAGAAAATCTGACCCCCCCAGCCCGCCCCCCCTATTGCCACCCCCCCCCCCCCCAGCCCCTCCTGGTGTTTAGCAATTTTAGCAAAAAGCAATGTGGATAAAAATCTCAGATTTTGAATATTTGCAAGGCAAACAGCATGGGGGGGGGGGGGACCTGAATATATTTTAGAACACCCCCCCCCAAAAAAAAAAAAAAATCTGAAAAATAGCAGCTGCAGCAGCAGCAGCAGGTCCCCCTACCACCTTACACTTGTATTTGGCTACTGTAGCAAAAGACAGATATTGATAAAACCAGGATTAATTCTGTATATTTGTCAGGCAAACAGCCCCGTCTCCTAGAATGACGCAAATAACAGATTCTATGGCTCTGGCTTTCTATATTCTGCACCCACGCACTCTGCTTGGTCTCCCACGGAATCAGCTACAGAGAGCAATGATCCAGATTATACAGGGAGAGGGGTGGGGGAATGGGAGAGAATAACAAATGAAATTGCAATTAAAAATTATAATGCTGCTATAGCCTGGACGCAAATAGCTAACCCTGAGCCTGAGCAGGGGCACACACAGACACACGCTCGCACCCACGAGCCCCCTGCCCCAGCAGCGGGCATCAGCAGCATTTAGACAAAGAGAATTGTCTTGCTGACAAATGCAGGGGTTGTCTGGCAAAGAGAGGTATTTCCTTTATGCACCACACCTTGCCCAGCTCCCATTAAGCAAAACGCAGCTCCGAAACGACCTCGCTTGCCACCGAGTGTGTGCAGAGGGGACAATTAACACATGCAGCCGGGGAGGGGAGGGGGGCCACCAGGAGCCCTTCCCCGGTCCCCGGAGGAGCTAACGAGGACCTTTAAGAGCAGGTCGTCTTCCCCGTCTCCCAGACAAAGGGACGCAGCTACTTCTCAAAATGCCTAAAAAAAGGCAAGCGCAAAGGGCTGTTGCTATTTTTAAACGCATCTCTCATTTGTTGGAAAATGGCACTAAAAGCATCAAACAAGCTCCCCGCCCCCGGGGACCGAGTCAGACACAGGAGCGAGTCGCCAGGGGCAGCCGAGGTTTGCGGGGACGTCCCTTCCCCAGGTGAGCATCGAGAGCCCCCCGCCACGCTCTTCCACCACCAGCCCACTTCACACCTTGCACGAAGGGAGAAGCAAAATGCCGGGGCCGTCGAGAAGCCGGCAGGTCATTTACCGCCTGACCCGCACACGCGCGCTCCTCAATTTATTAACTCACTTAATTATTACCAACTTCTTTCGCAGGCGATGAATTTCCCAATGTCAATGAGCGGCAATCGATGAGGTAACGCTATTTCTCCCTCTCGCCCGCGTTTAGCCAGGCAGTGCCAACGCCAGCGACGGAGCCGGGCAGGGACCCACGCACCGAGAGGAGGCCACCCCAGCGCCGCGCCAGGCTCGGGGGGACCACCAGGCCCCACGCGCTCTGTTCGGAGCCATCCCACGCACCCATCTCCACACACACCAGCCACCAGCTCCCCTAGACCAGGAGAGATTTCCACTTCACGCCTGGAGTCGTGTTGTCACCACACGGCCTGCCCAGCAGTAGTAGCGCGGAAGCCAGAGGGACGCGGAGCAATGCCCAACAGGGAGAGCCCTGAGGCCAAGGACAGCCCTGAGCACCTCACGACCCCAGACACACAGCCGGCTGTGGAACATACCTTCTCTGAGGAGCTGCAATGAAGTTCTTCCTGGACAAATAAAAACGTTAGGCTACACGGGGCACGTGCACCTAAGCTGTCTTTCGCCACTCAGACCCAAGAGTTTTGAGACAGTCCATGGCCTACTGCGGAGGGAGGGCACAGCCCTCTTCTCTCTGCCCTCCCTCACACAGACCTATTGCTTTGTGTTTCTACGTAGTGGTCACCTCTGTGCACATGAGCAGAGGAAAGCTGTCCAGCTTTAAGCTCCTCTCCATTGCAAAGAAAAGCCACCCTAAAGGGATGATCCCGATGGCCGGTCTGGTGCAGACACACCATGCACTCCTGGACCTCAGGGCCTCTCCTATGGGCCTGAGATTTCCCCCTGCTTCCCACCTCCTAATCCTTGCAGTGGTTTGTTTGTTTCTTTGTTTTTCCCCCTAAACTCTCCAATCTTAGTGAAAGAAGTAGTTAATCTTTCCACCATGAGGTTTGAAACGTCTTTCTGGAAGCTGTAGAACCATCTTTCAGCCTGAATTTCACCAACATGCCCTGCCTCTTCCTTCACTCTACTCTGCTTCTCCACTCAACTGTGCCATCTCCACCTCTGCAGGACCATCTCCTGTCTTGCCTGTCTGCTGCTTAAGGCAAGGTGGAAGCAATGTCCAGTGCCCAGGGAATCTCTGGCTTCAAAAAAATACATAAATGGAAGCCATCCAAACTGGAAAGAATGTTTGGCAGGCAAGTGTGTACCAAACAGCAGTTCCCACTTCTCCTGATCATTAGAAGCACTAAAAGGAAAATTTATCTTCTATCTTGATATTTTACTTATCAGCAATCTCCTTGTTTCCAAACAATTAAGCTTCCCTACCAATGAAGTCTTAATGAAAGCAAAGGCTCCTGTACTGAAAAGTCCTCACTGAAAGGTCCTCATTCAGTGTACTCCACTGAAAAGTAATACCACAGATACCAGACAAAGCAGTGCCCACCAGCTGCAGGTATGGTGCCTTACACCCAGAGCTGCTGGAAGTGCTAAAGGGGGCAGCTCTGTGTATCGGACTGTCCTCACCCCTGGGAAGTTCCCTTCCATACTCCACCCTAACAGACAATGGCACACATGGGCACACTACTGTTACTATTAGCAGTAAAATATTAGTTGGCACAAAACTGGTGCTCAAAACAGCTATGATCTGTCAATTACAAAGTAGTTTCATTTGCAAGTAAAAGGTATTTTCAAAGTATTTCATCACTTGTTTGGTTTTTGTTTGGTTTTGATCCACCAAGTTCAAGGCCCCATCTCTCATTTTGGACTGGAAGGTGGCTTTCACATTCTCTCTTCAAGACAGGGATCAGCCAAGATCAGCACTGCAAAATGAGTGGAAAGTAGCCTAAACACGTCTTGCTACAGCAGGAATGCTACTTCCTCAGAGCTTTGGAGTTCTGCTGACCTATGAGCCAGGGATTGATTCATTAACGTAATTGTTACAAAATATTCCCCTAACCCACACTTATTCCCACAAACTGTTGGAATTCATTCTTGGGCTCCACTCAGGCAACTGAATGACACTTGATATTTTCCAAAGGCAAAGAGAGCAGAAGAAGACCAGAGACAAAGAGTGAAGTGCCACAGAGATACACCAGGAGCTCACAAAACCCCTCAGCCTTCTGAACATAATTCACCTTGCATCAGGGCAGTCAGTAACTTATGCTAGTTAACCCTTGGTTACAGGAAAATATAGCACCCAGAAGAAAGAGTAATCACATTGAAATTAAAATAAATTAAAATTAGAGTGACATCTCTTCCACAACCTACTGCCTATTATAGGTAGCAAGGTCTGAGCTAGTGATGGGACCTGAAGAAGAGTGATGGCTAACTGAAGCAGGGGATTGGGATCTAGATATTCCTCTTCCGATCTAGATATTCCTATTCTAATCACAAATTTGCTGCAATGCATGTTGATCTAAATTTTCTCATTGAAAGCCTTTTTCCTTTAATATTTTTGAGGTTCTCCTCAAATTTCATGTGAACAGCCCATCACTTTATGCTTGGTTTATCCACCTATAAAACAAAGATAAGATGATACCTACTTACCTAACCAGGATGTTCTTGAAGATATCTATAGCATTGAGATAATCAATAAAAGGTGTCAGTAAGAAGACAGCAATATTACAAATAATCAGAGATCAGAACATACAAGGAAGCACAAAGGAGGAAAAGAGAGCTTTTCCTCCAACATCGTAAAGAGAAGCTGTTCAGTATTTTAGTAAAGAAAATCTCACCTGTGTCAGAAGATCAAGGACTTATTAAGACTCGTGACTTCAAGGTATGGGATTGTTTTTGGAGAACCCAGATGCATAGACCAGGAAACCAACAAAATAGGCAACTCGCATGTTGATGTCATCTCACACAGATTGTGTTAATAATCACCTCGATCAGTTTTTGACTGAAATGCCAGTATAGCTGGGTTGCTCT